AATATATATATATATATATAAATAAATAAATGACAGGATTAAATCATTAATATTGGGTATCTTATTTATTGATTTATGCTCGACAAAACTATAAATAAATTATTAACCAATTTGTTGGACAATCTCATAATATTATATTATCAAAATAAAAAATATATATATATATAATTTAATTTAAAAATAATAGAGACTCTAGATGGACAATTAATGCAGTTGACCTAAGTTCAAATTGACATAATAAAATTTATTTAATCAAAATTCTTAAAATAATATTGTATGCTATCGATCTAACTACTCGGGAACAAATAATATTAGACTAATTTTTTAATAAATAATATTAAAAAGACGAAGAAGGAAAAGAATCCAGCTAAGATTGACCATTTTAGTCTAGAAGTTCACAATGAATATCTATATTTCTATATATCTAGAAGTGAATTAAAAATTGTGGGGGAAAAGAGGTAGGAAGAGATTGGTTTGAGTGATGATGATGTTCTAGAAGCTTAGTTGATTGCATTAAACAAATTCAATTAGGTTAATACTTTATTTTCCGCCTAATTAATATAACAATAATCGATTGTTGATCTAAGAGGAAGATCGACCGCATCGAGATCGAGATACGACTCGGACTTCTACTGGAGATAGCAATCTCAAATTTTAAGTAATAGATAAAAAATAACAGCGTTCACATTTGAAACTATAAAAAGTAGTTTGTAACCGTCTAATTTTTAACGACGGAGTCGTGAGATACAGTAATTTTTTAGTAACTGGGTCGTTCTTAAATTTTAAAATTTAGTTTTAAAAATTTGTCTTATATTTTAAAAAGAAAATAAAAAATAATATTAATCTGCATTTTTGTTGGATAATTGGTTAGCAATTATTGCAACTAATGGGATTTTGGCATGTATAATACGGCAATAATTAACTTATTTTATTTAATTAATAGTTAAATGGTGAAGTTCTCTTCCATAATTTATTTATTACTTTATTTTTAGTTCATTGCATAATTCAATTTTATTTCGTTAATGGAGGATAATTATAATGGAATGATTTGACGTCATCCTCATCTATACTAATCTAATAATAACCTTATATTAACAAAAATTAAAATTTCATTAAATTCATATAATTTAAAAAAGAAACTTAATGCAATAATTAACTTCTTATATTTCTTATTAAGTTAAATGATAAATTTATATATATATATATATATGTATGTTTATGTTTAATAGGCTTTTAATAGTTTCTAAATATTTTTATTAATTAATTAAAATATAGCTATAGATATGTAACGGCACAGATTCAACGCTAGCAGATATTGTCCTCTTTGAGTTTTCTCTTTCGAGCTTCCTCTCAAGGCTTTAAAACACGTCTGCTAGGGAAAGGTTTTCACACCCTTATAAATGGTGGTTTGTTCTCTTCCCCAACTAATATGGGACATCATAATCCACTCCCCTTCGGGGCCCTGCGTCATCGCTGGCACTCTTTCTTTCCTCCGATCGATGTGGGACCGCCCCCAAATCCACCTTCCTTTAAGACCCAACGTTCTTACTAGCACATTGTCTCGTGTCTACCCCCTTCGGGGAACAACGAGAAGGCTGGCACATCGTCCGATATCTAGTTTTGATACCATTTGTAACGGTTCAGATCCACCGCTACAAATATTGTCTTTTTTACGCACATCACATGGTATTAATAAATAAAATAAAATAGGGGCATATTTGTGAAAGTTGAATAAAAATTGTATTATAAAAGAGATAAGATCCCAAACTTAATTAGAAAGTGATAAAGGGTTCCCTAACTTTACCCTCAAATCAATGTCGCTCCATCTTTTCATAGTACTACCAAGTTTTTTAAATATTTATGGAATTGTGGTTCGAAAAAGGCATTTATTTTGCATACTAAATAAATAAATTAATTAATTAAAGTTGGGGGCTAAGAGTTAATATATAGTTGGATCAATAATAATGGAGCCTATAAAAAAATTATTCCCTTATATTGTTAAAATAAAATAAAACAAAAATAAAAAATTAAAGTAACCACGGTCGTTCAACTTGGTTTTTGCGACCCACGTAGAAACAAAGAGACTTCTATTTTCTCCCTTGCCTTTGACGTTGTTATCAGTGACGACAAATATGAAAAATCGGTAAAGATGGTAACAACTATGGTAGTTTTACTAACTTTGGTGGTGAGGAATTTGAGTCTGGTTAAAAATTGAGTGAGAATGGAGAAAACGTGTTGATGGGCTGAGTAACGCCCACAAATACAGTGAAATATATATGAAGGTGACTCTGATACCAGAAGAAACTAGATAGAGATTTCGGTGACAAATACAATGAGATGAATCAGTACGTTGATCGATTCGAAAATGAGAGTACTTCATTGAGAAAAAAGTTGGTTATTTTTCTAAAAGTTTATTGACCCAGTAAAATCCTGCCCGGGTCAATAATAAAAGGAAAGAAAATAGTTTAACTGTGAAAAAAATTAATGAAATTGAAAATATGAGAGTAAAAACTGTTTGAACTCTTATTTTATGAAATAAACAGTTTTTGGTCAAAATTGATAAAACTTGTCGTTTAAGGTCAAAAATCGACCACGACCTTAACTAAGATTATTATAATCATCTCGTTATATATAACGTCTATAGCATCAAACACGGCATCTTTACAAATGCTTCGTACTCGAGCTTGTCGTACAAGCTTCGTGTCAATCTTAATTATTTATTCAAGTTGCTAAATAAAGAAATTTAGCATCTTCGATTACACCCGACTAAACTATTTTCATGGATCCACATGAAATATTTAATTATTTTTTTTATTGTAATATCCTATGAATTATTATTATTGTTAAATAACAATATATTATTTAACTCAAGGAAGCTACTTTATATTAAAAATTATAATATGATTGTTAAACAACCAAATTAAATAATAATGAAATAAATAACCTTAAACAATATGGTAAGAATAATGCGACATTAGGCCAAAAGTGGCATACCATTATAAGTAAAGTGCCCACTAAACCATATAATTAATCCCTAAAATACGCTAATTTTCTTAATTATTTTATTTAATAAATGTGAAAAAAGTAACATCGAACTCGATTCACCACGCATGATGGGTTGAAGTACGGCTGTCGGAATCGCCCACGTGATAGCCGCAACATGGACCAATAGAAATTGGCCACGTAGCAGAAAAAGTTTTTATTAAGATTGCAAAAGAAGTATGTCTCTGAATAATTTGATGTCCATAAGGAAGTGGGTCTTCGCCACGTGGACCTTAGGGGTAAGGGGCCCACAAGTGAAGGGTATCTTGGTCCAAATTAATGGGCTTTGGTCTGAAATTAGGTTCCTGTCTGAGGTTCGGTCAGGGAAGGGAGACCGTTGGAATAAGGGCAGATGAGAGAGAAAGTGAAAGACCCTCTTTGGAAGGTGCAAGCCTGTCTAGAAATGGAGAGAATCTATTTGTCCTCCTTTATTTTTTTATTCATTAAATTATTAAAAAATACTTATATATTTTTTAATTTGTAATATTATTTTTTTTGATAAAATAATGTGACGATGGGACTCGGAGGGGGTGAATTGTCTCACATCAGTTGAAGAGTAGAATGAAACATTCTTTATAAGGTGTGAAAACCTCTCACTAATAGACACGTTTTAAAAATCTTGAGAGAAACCTCGAAAAGAAAAACCCAAATAGGACATTGTAAATGGTATTAGAGCTAGACACCGGACGATGTGCCAATGAGAACGTTGTGTCCCAAAGGGAGTAGACAGCGAGTGGTATGTCAACGAGAATGTTGGATCCTAAAGAGGAGGTGGATTGTGAGATCCTACATTGATTGGAGAGAAGAATGAGCGTCAACAAGGACGCTGGACCTTGAAGGGAGATGAATTGTGAAATCCCAACACAAAAGAATGAATGCCCTTCGGGGTAGATTATGAAACCTCACATCGACTAGGTTCAAAGAGTGTCACATTATTCCTAATTTAAAATAAAGTTTAGTAGTAGTATTGAAATTTATAAAAGAATATAATTATTTTTATATAAATGATAAATACAATTATTAATAAATTCAAGATAAGGCTGAAGGGGAAGGTGATTTTATAAAATTGATTTAACATAATTAAATAAAGATAAACTCAAATTGAAGCCTTCAAATATCCCATTTCCTAATCATGAAAGCTACTTCCTTTGCTTTTTCTAAGTAGGATTTCCTAGTAAGCATGTGCTGTCAAAAGAATCAATAAATAAATGCAACTTTAATTTTAAATTTTGGTGTATATATATATATATATATACCTATTTAATTTATTAATTGGAGATTTTTTTCCCTCCATTTTAATTACTATTATTTAATCGACTTTATTATATATTACTACATTAAAATTAAAAGGCTCCAATTGTGTTAGGAAAATTGATCAAAAATCAATTTAAATATTAGATAATGTAACTAGGCCAAACTATTAGATAATTCAAATATTTTAAAATAAATATACAAAATATTTTAGTAAATCTATATAAGAAGAAATTTAAATATTTTTAAAATAAATTATCTAACATCTACTCTAAATATTCTACCACTAATGTTTTCATTTAAAAAAAAAAAAAAAAAATAGACCGTGCATTAATTCCTACATAATACATTTTTTCTCGATCACCCTACTTACTTTTGATCCCAATAAATACTTTTGATCCCAATAAATTCAAAACAAACAGTACAGTAATTTCTACAGCTATATTGTAATCTTTGACGAGTCTTAATAAAAAAACTAGCGTATCTTGTAGTCTTTCTCTGGAAGAGGCATATTTTTCAGAAAAATAATAATAATAAATAAATAATGATCATGAATTGTGTTCAACAAATCATGTGAACAAACTTGGTCAAATTCATAGTATTCGAGCCCAGTTCAAGTAAGCCAAAAATAGTTCATTAAATGATAATTGAACCCAAAAACCATCAAAGATTTTGCACATGATATACATAGAAATCAGTAAAGAGAGTCAAACAAGCAACGGCCAAAATATAGGTTCATATAGAGAGTTCCAATTTGCTTGCAATTGCTGAATTTGTTGACATAAACCACACAACAGCTTGAAAAAGAAATGGACAAACAAACAGAGTCTTAAATTACAATACAAATACGTTATTCTCAGCAACAAGGAAGAGAAGAGAAGGGAAGCAAAAGAACTCTTACCTGTCGAAAGAAGGCCAATTTGGTGCGGTTTTCAGAGCCTGGACAGCTCCCTGGGATGATGTATGACTATATGGTTGTACGCATCCAAGGTCAGAAAATCATCCAAGGTTGGCGCTGTGCATTGCCTTGTGAACATCTTGCAAGCCTCTTTGTACATTCCCTTCCTGAATTTCTCCTTCCCCACTTCCCTTTCAATCCTTTCCATTTCTTCTTCCACCACTCTTCCGAACAGTTCCTTGTTCACACTCACTCCAAGCCCATCTCCATCCAATTCCACTCCATACTTCAGCCATTGCCAGTTTTGAACCCTGCTGATTTCAGCTGTGGCTGCATCTTCCATCAGGTTATACAGAGGCACCGAGCCTGTCCCAGTTAGCCATGCTGCTAGATACTGAATTCCGACTCGGGTGTTCAACCGGAGCCCTTCCAATGTACGAACACCCCTCGGTTGCTGCAAGAGGTCGTCTGCAGTTAGGTTTGCAGCATCGTCTCGTCTTGCAGATCGAATCTGATTTGGGGCGTTTCCCATGTTGTTGGTGAAGACTTCCATACATGCTGGGATTAGTCCTGGATGTGCTGCCCATGTTCCATCATGCCCTGCCTTTGCCTCTCTCAATTTGTCCTTCCTCACTAGCTCAAGTGCCATCTCATTTGCCTTTGGGTCGTCTCTAATTGGAATTTGAGCTGCCTGTAAAATGTTACTGTCAAAACTTTTCCTTTTGAATGTGATGAAATATTGTGCATTGTACGTACCATGCCTCCCATGGCGTGCACACCACGCCTGTGACAAGTCCTGATGAGGAGATCAGAATAACTCCTCATGAAATGTTGTGCCATACCGACTTGGACTCGGTCGGGTAACAGGCGATCTGGGTGAGCCTGGAAGGTCTTGACATAGCTGAATATGTAATCCCATCTACCACAGTTCAATCCCACAGAATGATCCCTCAGCTCATAGAGTATTTCATCCATTTGAAACACTGCTGGAAGTGTTTCAATCAGCACAGTGGCCCTGATGCTGCCCCTCTCTATCCCTGCCATCTTCTCTGCTCTCTCAAATACACTATTCCATATTTTTGCTTCCCTGCAGACCACATATTAAACAGCTTGTAATATTGTTTGAATGTGGTGAACTGAATCCATTACGACCCAAGTTGAAAAAACCCTTGAATCGGACTTTTCAAGTGATTTTCTTTTAAGTCTTTGATGATAAGATCAGGTCCATAGAATCTATACTTTCTCTAACCATGGTTTTCTTTAAAGGGTGTTCATTCTTTATCAGACCATTATCATCTAAAGAAGAGACTCGTTGCAAACATAGCTCAATTTCTAGAAAAACATGTTCAATTTGGATAGTTAAAATGATGTGTTACCTGGAGTGCTCCATTTTGGGAAGGTAGAAGAAAGGGCCAGAACCTTGACCTTGAGAGCGCCGGAAATTGGCATGGTTGTGGAAGAAGTAGAGCCCAAAGTCCACAAGACAGCCGGTGGCAGGCTCGCCGTCGATGAAGATATGAGCCTCCGGCAAGTGCCAACCTCGAGGACGAACAAAGAGCTTGGCTGTCTGATCGTTCAGCTTATAAACCTTGTTTCTAGCTTTGTCATGGAAGCTTATAGTCCCATCTACTGCATCCTTCAGATTAATTTGCCCTCTCATCAGATTCTCCCAGTTTGGTGACAGTGCATCTTCAAAGTCCGCCTGTTTTGATTTTTTTTTAATCAAATTGCATTCTCTTAAGAAATGTAAATCAAATCTTGAGCAGAGAAAAGAAAGAGAACGAACCATGAAAACTTTAGCTCCAGAATTGAGTGCGTTGATGATCATCTTCCGCTCCACAGGTCCGGTGATCTCCACCCTCCGATCAGCAACTGCCGGGGGGACTGGTGCACATGTCCACTCAGATTCCCTAATATACTTGGTCGCCGGATCAAACCCCGGCACCGCCCCTTCATTGTACCTCCTTTTGGCTTCTCTGCGGCATTCCATCGAATACCTTATGTGGTTTCTGAAAGTCCTCTGTAAATCAGCGACAAACAGCAAGGCTTCCTTGCTGAGAATCCTGGCAAATTCTTCATCATAACGTCCCCGAATGTCCACTCCCTCTGGAACATCGTAGCCTCTGCTACTTTTCTTCCTTACTGCCGATTCAGAATACATTCCCAGCGATCCCATCTTCTTCTTCCTCTTCCTCCTCCTCCTACAATTAAAGCTTATTCGGTGCCTTCGTAGAGCCAAGGTGCTGTGTATTTATATGCAGCACAATTCTCTAGGAGTTTCCGGGTGGGATAGGATCGTTGAGGATTATCGTTATGGACATTCATGGCGTATTCCAACGCAGGATAAGATAATCCCGTCTGACGCAAGAAAGATAACAACAATCCACCATTTATTGAGTTCCGTGCCAACATTGGGAACTGCAGTTGAGTAACTGAAGAAGATGATATGGCGGATTGTGGTCATCTCCACGTGGTAGATCTTCGATTTTTGGCGGCGAATTTGAATTTATAATAACTGAGGTGAACAGATGAAGTTCCGACCAAGGATCTGCATTGTGTTCTTGCTTTCCTCACGCCCCAACGCCTGTGTTACTGCTGTACACTCTTTCAATCCATATACCAAATCAACCGAACAGAAGATTTAATCTATAAACAAATTAAGAACAGATTTGAATTTAGCAACCGAAAGGAATTATGGAAATGGAGAATGTTTGTTCTCTGACCGGTATAATTTAGGGCAACTTCTCATGGAATTTCTCGACCTTCTTCCCCAAGAGCAGCAATGCCGCAACCCTAAATTGGAAGAAAACTTGGGACGTACTTCGCCGCCAACTCCGAATTAGCCAACGCCACCACGAACGGCGGAGGAACTGAAATGTACGAGACCCTCCACTTCTCCACTCGAAGCCGAATCTCTGCATCAACATCACGGTATCGCTTATCGGATTGATTGATTTCGACAGGCAACACCATCGCCTTCTCCATCCGATCAAATTTTCAGTTATAATAGAGATAAACTTCGGAGAATCTAGGGAGCTAAGACGTTCACCTGGTGAGCAATCTCCAATCGGTAACTAGTAGGGTTAACTGGAGAGATGCGGACGCCGAGTGGATTCAAATTTGACAGAGAACGGTGGCGTTTGCAGGGGAGAGGATTATTGGAGGAGAGAAAGGGCGCGAGGTTGAGATATTGTTGGAAGTGGGAGTGGTGGTCGGAGGCAGTGGGAAATCTTTGTTTGAGGACAGAAACCGCGTCGAAGATGAATGAATTGGGCGGCGTTGGAAGTTTGGATTCCGATCCGCCATGGAAGTGGACTCGAAGAAGGTAAAAAATGATGTTTATTAAGAATCAATAGTAACAACAAATCATTTATCAAAAAGTCTTGGATCAACCGTTAAATTTATGAATTCTTAATTATATATTCTTTTATTATTATTATTATTATTTAATTAAATGGCATTTGTTGAAGTTTAAGATTAAAATTGTACATTTATAAAATATTATTAGTTTAATTTGATTAATTATATGTTTATCTTTGATTAATTGTGCCCCTAAAATTAAAATATTTAATATTAGTAACACCTTTTCCTTAAAATAATAATAATCATTAACACGAAAATGCAAGTACAATTATTTCTTACTTTTTATAAACTAACATTTGAATTTATTTGTCAAATTTAAAAAATAAAAAACAAGATTTTTTATTTTTAATTTTAAAATCTTATTTTAAATTTTATTTTTGAAGTTTCTGTGGTGCAAAACTACGTGCATTTTCATGGGAACATATCTTCCTTAGAGCTTATTAGAACCATGAGAGCGAGCATGTTGGGTCAGCTCCCTCCTCAGAATCTTCCCTGCAGGCGATTTCGGGATCGCGTCGATAAACGAAACTCGTCGAATTTTCTTGTACGGTGCAACCTGCAAGATGATGAAAATGGTGAGCTTGAATGCAAGAAGAAGACATGAGAAATAGCAGACAATCTCAAGCTTGCCTGTTTAGCAATGAAATCAATAACTTGAGCCTCAGTGATATTGCTTCCAGGCTTTCTAACAACGTAAGCCATAGGAATCTCTCCAGCATCTTCATCGGGATAGCTGCTCAACAGAAGTAATCAAGTTCATCAGCAAAATTAGGCAGCAGAGAGCTCATTCTTGACAAGTTTAAGAACAGACAGATGCATACGGTATCACAGCAGCGTCAATGATTTCAGGGTTGGATTGAAGCAAATGTTCCAATTCTGCAGGTGGGACCTGGAATTTGTTCAAAACCAAAAAGATTTTTAATTACTAAGGAGCCCGTACGAGTGGGTTTGATTCGAAAGTCATTTCAAATAGGACCTAAAACAACAACGCGATAACGACAACTGACATTTGTAATCGTATTCGGTCAAAAATTACAAGAAGTCACCTGATAAGCCTTGTACTTGATCAATTCTTTTAATCTGTCAACAATGTAGAGGAATCCATCGGAATCAAAATAGCAAAGATCACCAGTCTTTAGCCATCCATCTGGATGCAGGGTTTCGGTAGTTGCCTTGGCATCTCCTACATAACCTGAATCAAACAATATTTGGTGATCTGTTTATCAAACAATATTCGGGTGTAATGCATTCCTTACAAATCACCTTCATGTCACAAGGCAAATAGAGGCGGGATATTATTTTTAGTTCAACAATGAGTTGAAAATATAGTACTTCAATTAATTGAGTTATACTCCACTTCATAGATAGAACGAGCATCGAGTCTAAAATAGTAGTTACAAGTCTAGTATATAAGTAACATCATATAATAAGGCGAAGAAAGATGATCAAACAATTCTCAATCATTGTCCTGATGTATCTGAAGAGTTGGAAGCCAAGGATGCATGCTCAATGATTCATGATGGAATCAACAAAAACTCAACATGGAATTCAAATGGGACTCCAAGGATGCATGCTCAATGATTCATGATGGAATCAACAAAAACTCAACATGGAATTCAAATGGGACTCCCATGTTTAAATGTACGCACTGCCATTTTCTCCTATTAACTCATATTAAATTGGAGTCCACATACTCCGTTTCTTGTTGAAAATTATTAAGAGGAATAGTCCCACATCGACTAATTACGGGAAAAATCATGAGTCTATAAGTAAAGAACAATTTCTCGCTACTAGACCTTTTGGAGAAACTAAAAAAAAACAAAACTATGAGAGCCTATACCTAAAGTGGACAATATAGGGTCGTGGTTCCTAACATGGTATCAGAGTCTTGCTCTTAGCTTAGTCATGTCAATAGAATTCTAAGTGTTGAACAAAAAAAGTTGTGAGATTCGAAGGTATAGTCCAAGGTGACTCAAGTGTCGAATAAATGGTGTATTTTGTATGAGGACTTCAGAGAAGGAGTTGAGCCTCGATTAAGAGGAGACTGTTCGAGAGCTCTAAAGAAGGAGGACTCAGGGGAGGCTCTATGGTATACTTTGTTCGAGAGGACGATTGTTGAAAATTATTAAGAGGAGTAGTCCCATATAAGCTAATTAAGAGGAAGATCATGGATGGATGATTAAAAAACAATATTTCCATTAATACGAGACCTTTTGAAAAAGTCAAAATAAAGCTTTTATGCTCAAAGTGGACAATATCATATTAATGCGCAAGATCGTGTGTTTTTGATGATGATGAACAGAAGATTGCTAACCTTTCATGATTCCTGGACCTCGCAGCCAAAGCTCTCCTCTATGGCCAGGAGGCAAGGCCTCTCCAGAATCAGGATCCACAATCATGGCTTCCATATTTTCAGATAGGCGGCCTACTGACTTCGTGTTGCTGCTTTCCTCGGGCCCCATACTTCTTGCTGCCCCCGCTGTACTCTCTGTCAACCCATATCCCTAGTCAACAAAACAAAACAATGCGGCCCTCAGGATTGAGAAACGTGTAATGCTATGAACAGGAAGAAAAATTAATTATGGGTATAAATAAACAGGGTACAATAAATGGAACAACTTTCATCAGTCCCCACAAGAACATTAATGAGATTTAAGTCAACTTTAGCTATTCATTCTTATTACCAATACTTTTAACAAATCTATTTTTTGTTTAGTAAAGTCTATAACAACAGTGTTCATAAAATACAATACACACTTGTATGTTTGAGTTTCAAAGAATATGGACTACTATCATTTTGATTGTGTTTTTCAAATTCTATTTCAGTTCATCGATTAACCTTGAGATTAGTTCTTAATTTTTAATTTATGGTTAAACAATAAAAATCACTTCCGTTTTAATTTAACATTTCAATCCAACAAACTCAAAAAAAAAAAAAAGTCAGTGAAGGAACAGATTCGGATTTGGCAACAAATAGGACGGAGAGTTCATCAGATTCGTATGAAGGGAAGAAGAAACGAGGTCTATTGTACACAAATCATTGAGCAAAAACAGTGAACGAATTTCTTACGAACCTGGATAATTTCAACTTTGGGCAATTTCTGATGGAATTTCTCGATGACTTCTTTCCCAAGAGGAGCGCCGCCGCACCCCAAAACTTGAAGAGAACTGAGATCGTATTTCGCCACCAGTTCCGACTTGGCCATCGCCACCACTAGCGGCGGAGAAACTGGGATGTACGTAACTCTAAACTTCTCTACTGCTGATAGCATCTCCACGAAGTCGAATTTTTGCATCAGAACCAATGTTTCTCCTCGTGAAATCGCTCGAAGCAACATGACGAATCCGAAAACATGGAACAGAGGCAACAGACACAGAGACACCTGACGTGGCTCCGTCTCTCCGTTGTTGACCTCAGATAGAAGAGGATTAGGACTAGAGTTCACCACAATAAGGTTTCGATGACTCAGTAACACGCCTTTCACTCGTCCTGTCGTTCCTGACGAGTACAGGATCGCCGCCGAGTCGGATTGATCGACTTTGACGTCGGCAAGACCATCAGATCTATTGATTTCGGTCATCATGGAGAGAAACGCAGGAGAATCAATCAGGACGGTGCCGAGTTGAAGCTTGGGGAGCTTGGACGCCGTCGAGGATGTAGCGAAGGCAATAACCGGTTTACTGAGTCGAATCTGATGAGAAATCTCCGAATCGGAACCAATCGGATTAGCCGGAGAGATAACAACACCGAGAGATAACAGAGCAAAATACAACACAGGGACTTCCAAAGAAGTCGGTGCGAGAATAAAAGCCACTTGGCCATTGGAGAGTGAGGTTAACGCTTTAAGATTAGAGGCGAGTGTTCGTATTTGACGGAGGAAAATGGCATAGGAGAGATGCACACCAGAGTTGGAGTCGACGAGAACGGCAGCATTTGAAGGAGGAGGGGACGATTGAAGGAGAGAAAGGGCGTGTTCGGTAACGGAGAGAGGCTGAGATAATGGCGGAATTAAGAGAGGTGGTCGGAGGCTATGGAAAATCTTCGTCTGAGGACAGAAACCGCTTCGATGATCAACGAAATGGGCGGCGTTTAAGCTGGGATTCCGATCTGCCATGGAAGTGGACTCGAAGAAAGTGATGCGCGATCGAGCACGCGGACGCTGATCCAACTTATTTTATTCAAATTAGTTGAGAATGTTTTGGATTGAATATTCAAACCGATTAAAAAAACAAAAACAACTTTACAAGATTAAAATAATAATAAATTGCACAATCAACCAATAGGAAATTCCAAAACAGATTTTGAAGTATTTATTGAAAAAGGTTTATTGCTCTTTTTAAAAACCAACCACGTTTCAAGTCGGCTAACAAACTTCCAAGTTTGAAAGTCAAAATTTTCTTTTATTTTCTTTTATTAAATTGCGCTTTTAAAAAGAAAAATGTGTAAAATCATTTAAATTTCAAATTCAGTCAAATTATAGTATAAATTTAAATTCCTTTCCTGTCTTATCCCATACTTCTTTAATATATACTCTAAATTAATATTACCTATCTTTTCAAATAAATAATTATCAGTATAGATATCGATAAAAATGTAGTATGCTACCAATTTTGTTAGGAATCATAGATCTCTACAATGATATGATATTTTCCCAAATTTTGTTAATCACAAATCTCCACAGTATGCCTTTGCTTCTCATACCAATGGAGATAAGGAATCACAGATCTCTACAATGGTATGATATTGTCCCAAATTTTGTTAATCACAGATCTCCACAATGGTATGATATTGTCCCAAATTTTGTTAATCACAGATCTCCACAATAGTATGATATTGTCCCAAATTTTGTTAATCACAGATCTCCACAGTATGATATTGTTCAGCTCTCATGGCTTTGCTTCTCATACCAATGGAGATATATTTAATTACTTATAAACCTACGGTCATTCTCTAAATTAGCTAATGTGGGACTCACTCC